GGTCCCTAACTTATTTTTTTAACTCGGAAGGTCCCTACTATTTATTTTTGTTACGCGCTTGGTCCCTACTGTTTGTTTTTGTTACGCGTTTGGTCCTTGTCTTACCTAAAAAGACTATTATTTAAATAGAGAAAAATGATGTGGTAGGTAAGGTAAGATGATGAGGGTGGAGTTGGGGGTGTGTTTATTTAAATTAATTAAAAAATCAAGGGTAAAATAGTGTTTTTAGGTAAGACAGGGACGAAACGCGTAACAAAAACAAACAGTAGGGACCTTCCGAGTTAAGAAAATAAGTTAGGGACCAAATGCGCAAATTATCCTAAACCATAGGGACCATTCGTGTAATTTACTCATAATTAAATTATTGTGGATTGAAAACCCTATGTACTCACCAGGTTTCCCAACCTGACCCACTCAAGCTTATTTGTATCACAAGTGTCGATATGAAGCTACTTTACACTGAGGGATTTAAAAGATATGTAGATCACTAGTGTAAATGAATGTAAGATCTGTTTATGCTTATGTTTCTGTATTGACGATGACATCCCAAATGTTTTTTAAATTGGATAAAAATACATTTCTTCGGAAATGCTTTGATAACGTATTTATCATGTTTTTCTGGGAACAAATTCCGCAACATTTTTATTAAAAGAGGTACTCTGATTTTTATAAAGCATAAACAAAATCGGTCTTTTCTGGCCGTGAAAATGGGGATGTCACACCTTGTTAAGTCCTTTTTAAGCTTGAGAGCTTCATTTAGGTGTTATTTGTTTTTTGTTTCTAGATCTGCGTGACCACTTCTGTCTGCGCCATGCAGACCACGCGCATACATATACCCTCGCAAACTGTTTGTTTTTTGGAAGTAAGCATAGCTAAAAAAGTTTGTGCGAGGTCTCCTTGGCACATACATAGATCAATGTCTTCTAAGGGCTTCACAAGTCCTTTAAACCTAAACCAAAAAAAATATACACATTCTTTTTTCAGCACCTCCCTCCACCGGTCTTCTTCAACCTCTCATATCCTCCTCATGTCACCGTCTTCCAGACCAGAATCGTCGTCTTCCTTCTGTCTGGTCGCACCACCAGACACACTCCGGAGTAGCATCATATTTCCCCCTAAAAAGGAAAACAGGTTTGCACTTCTGTAATCTCCTCCAATGAATCCTATACCCGGAGAGCTCTGCCTCTCCACCAGTGTGCCAATAATTTTCTCTTCATATTCTGATTTTGTGTTGGTGAAATCGATTATCCTTGCTAAAAATATGGGTTTCATTTGTGAACTACTAATTATATTGCCTTTAAATTGTAGTCGTCTGATTTTGTATTGATGGACTTTAAAATTGTTTGTCATTAACATACACAATTAGGGATTCTTTTTTGTTGATGAGTTCTAAAGATGACTAAACTATTGTTAATGATGTAGGAATTGTTGATGTCGATGTTAGTAGTATGGTGAATGCATGGTGGCAACAAATGAAGAATAGATTCAATCTTGTTGTTTAAAACAATTGTATGGTTGAGATCCAATTGATTTTGTTTCCACACACATCAACGAAATTGAAGATATTGGAAATTGGTTATAGTTTATGTACATGCTAGTTTGAATAAATAGGATGTAATTTTTACTGATTTAATTCTATATGCTTGAAAATGGTATGTTGCAATTGGTTATTGTTTATGTAAATATTGAGATTGTGAAATGGCAGATTATCATCTATTTGAAATGGAACAAATGAATGCTAGTAATTATAATGCTTTGTGTAGCTTGTGGAATTCTTGTGGTTTTGATGCTAATTTTCTCATTGCATGTTTGGGTCTTATGTGATTGTCCCTCCTGTTCTTCATAAAAAATGATTTTAGCCCTCTTCAACTGGTTCAATTTTTTTGTACTATTCATTTGATAAAAATATTCACCATAATTGATGTTATTATTTCTACACTTGTGTATGTGGATCGACTTAAAAAGTACCAGTTAAATGAATAGTTTAATTGTACATATGTTTGGTTTATTTTAATATATAATACATACAACCCAACAATAGCAATAATGTTTTAATAAGAAACTTTTTTAGTGGTACAATGGTACGATTGTATAGAATTGTCGGTTATCTTAATTTTATTTAAGTATTGTAATACTATAATTAATGAAACAAGACTTTTATGTTTTATAAAAATTAATTTTTTATATAGTCCGCAGACGTTAAAAAACAAACAGTCTTCCTTTTTACTGACTATAGATGTTTGGTCTACCTCTTCTATTACAGATGTCTGCAGATGTGGTCCACAAACTGCAGTCATTTTGCCTCTAAAAAAACAGCACCTTAGACATGCATGAACGTAAAGTTGTCAACTTTACGTGGTTTTCCAGCTCAAGGAAGCCAGATCTATGTTTTGAGGCTATGTCTTCAAGGATTAAGTGCTTATTGGTTAAGCCCTTGCTCGATTAAGCTTTTTTGGTTGGGTTTGGACCCTTTTTGGTAATCCCTATGGGTAAAGATGGAAATTTTACCCATCTAAGTCTCATTTTGGCCTAGATCTGAGCTTTGGAGCCCTTGGAATCGGAGAGAGTAGCTTAATGTATTAAGCTGTTGGAATTCAGGCAAATACGGCGTGTTGGCTGGGGTTTTCCCAATTATATGGATGATGGAAGAACACAACGTGTCCAAGGGGCAACACAACGTATTTGGTCAATATGGACTGTTGACTTTGACTTGGACCAGAAGTTTGATCAGGGTTGTCTATGGGTTATGTTGGGCCATGTTTGGGCCTTTTGGATTGTATGTTTGTGCCTCAGTCTTTGAACAAGCTAGGTTAGGGGTAAAATGGTCTTTTTACCCCGAGTATGGATTTATGGTTATGGTTTGGAACCCAATTGTTAATTGGGTGTTGTTTTGATATTGACAGTTCAGGGAATCTGTCAGCCAACAGCCAAGGATCGTCTGTGTGATTCGGCAGTGCGAGGTGAGTCTCCTCACTGAGTTTAGCAGGTCGAAGGCACCAATATCGGCCCATGATTTATATGTTAGGATGCTAGATGTCTGCGTGACTCTTGCATGTGTTGTATGATGATATGTTTATCGAGCAAGGCCTGATGCCAGGCGGGGCTTGATGAGTATATTGTATGCTAGTTATTAGTATCTGTATTTATGCTTACTGGGCGAGGCCCGATGCCGGGCGGGGCTCGATGACGGTATGATATGCTATAGTCTTTGTGATTGCTGCATGTGCTAGTAAGGTTATATGGTTACATGATTATATGGTTATATGTTTATGCGTGTATCGGGCGGGTCCCAATGTCAGGCGGGGCCTGGTGATGGACATATCTATAATCCGAGCGGGCTCGATGCAGGGCGGGCCCAAGGCCGAATGGGAATCGAGAGCGGGTGAGGCCCAATGGAGGGCGGGGGACCAATATGTGTTTTATGTATGTGTTGTATGTGCTATTTTGGGAAACTCACTAAGCTTTGTGCTTAAGGGTTTCAGTTATGTTTCAGGTACTTCGGTTTTCAAATGGAAGAGCTCGGGATGATTGCAGAGCACACACCACATGTTTTCGCTTTCTGTGATTTACTCTGATTTGATGTTGTTTTGATAAATATGGATTACCTTGGTTTTATGGAAAGGATATGTATTAATGATTTATTAATCCAAAAACAAAAATTTTATGTCATTATGATTTGGGACGTTACACCTGAGATGCAACAACTTCTAGTATTATACTTGGATCATCTATATCACCTCGAGTGAATTGACCGCGCCATGCATTTGGATATTTTTCCCAAGCAACATGCGTACAATCTAGACTACCAAGCATACCCAGAAATCCATGCCTCTATTCATGATCCAAATATAACCTCTCAATATCACGTGAAGTAGGTTTACGCAAATATTCTTTGTGAAAAACCTCATACACACATGCACAAAACCAATCTACAAATCAATTGCGGTCCTCTCAGATACTTTGAAGTACTCGTCAGATGCATCAAAGACTATATCGTATCCCAAATATCTAAGCGCAACCGCACATTTTTGTATACTAGTAAAACCTATTCTTCCTCTAGCATCGGATTTTTGTTTTAAAAAATCATAACAGGCCTCTAAAGCATTACTAATACGTAAAAATATAGCCTTACACGGAAACGACGTTGGAACGAGTCATCATTGTAAAGACAATTATCGACAAAGTAATCACGTACCAATAAGTCATGTGCGTCTTGACGATCTCGATTGACGGCCGCTCTTGAATTCGAAACATTCAAACTTTCTTCATCGTGAATGTGTTGTACAATGTTGAAGAAGGTCGAGATGAATTCTCCATCGTCATCCGAATCGAAATTCTTAAAGAAATCCATAAATATGTTTTTTAAAGAGAGTGTAAAAGAGAATGATTTGAATGTATAATTATTGTAAAATTGTTGTGTTTATATATGTAATGTTTATATATTAAGAACTGTTTAAAATTTTGACCGTTGAATGGTCCAAAGTGAAGAAAACGATCCCATTCGTCGTCTGAATCACGAGGCATCACGAGCACTTGGCCAGGGTAGTGTGCACAATGGATTTCTGTGGCCACGTAGACCACGGGCCGACTCATTTTATGTATACCGAATGGCCAAAAAGTCAAAGTGTGGGAAACAATTGGGGAAGCACAAAAGATGCAACAAACCACACGCTTCAACAACCAACTTTAACCTTTGTTCGCAGTACCAACCACCTTTCAGATTAGTTCTGTCGACGGTACCGCCAAGACAAACCTACTAAACCCCAACTATTCTGTCCACCCTAAGTATAGTATGTGATTTTTAATAGCTGCCTCCATTGTATTTACTATAAATGGCCAAACCTTCTCCAGGTCCACCAGAGAAAGGTAGGTCATAGATTGATTCATCGCCAATTGCCCATGGCAATTACATCTCAGCCGTCCATCAAGCACCTGGATAGCCCGCCCAGTTTTCTGCATGACATGGCAATTAAATGCATTTAAAATCCGTATTTGAAGTCCGAAACACTCGCGCTTCAAGTAACACATCACACTCTCAACGTTCCGACTTGTCTCGAACCCAAATTCGCCCCATTTCTTATCGACACACCATTCGAACTCAAATTAGCTCACAACCTTGAGTTCTGCCCCAATTTATGTAAGTTTTCGATGTTATGAACTCGTGTTTGATTCCGTCGAGTTATCGATTTCATGATCTCGTTACTCCTTTGCTTTGCTTGATTGTTGTGATACGTAGAAGTTGAATTATTTTATTTAGGGTTTGCTGTTGTTATCAGGAAATGATAAGCTTTTGTAATTAATTGATTGCTCACCGTTCTTTGCTTAATAATGTTTTTTTGTTCTGATACTTTATATTGTTTTTATTTGGTGAGTTTACGTACGTTTAAGCAGATCTTGTTATGAGTTGCTGAAATTTGAAGCTGTCTATTCGAACCAAACAATCTTTTTTTTTTTTTTTTTTTTTTTTTTTTTTTGTTATAATGATATGTTATGATGATAAGGTCTGTATGTTAGGGGTTTGTGTATGTTAAAGCATTTCATTGCATTGTAGTTGGTAAGAAATGTGAAAAGTAATTTGTATGATATTATATGTGGCGTCTTACATTTTTGCTTGATTATATCATAAGTAAAATCTGTTGATGGTTTGTTATTATCAGGAAACACAAAGCTGTTGTAATTTGGTGAAATGTGTTTTTGATATATTTTGATTCTGACTTTAGACGGCAAGATTTCTATGTGATTGCATTCTTGTAGAATTGATGGGCTTGTGGTTGGCAGGAGAGGTGAAAGTTTTGAGGATACTATACGTGTTGGCATTGTTATCAAATTGCTTATAAACGTGGTCTGTAGGGATTTCTTGTGAATTTGTTACTTGTGGTTGAATGCTGATGGTCGGTTGTAAGTTTACATATCCAGTTATGGGCAAGGAAGAGGCTAATGGGACTGAAGTTGGTAAGACAGTGGCTAATGGGACTGTGTCTGACAATGTTGTAAGCGAGAATACAAAAGATGAAGGGAAGGATAAAAGTAAAGAAGTGAATGTTGACAAGGTAGATGCCAAAGAGAAAGAGATAAATGATAGCAAGGAAGAAACGGAGAGTGAGGCTATGGAAGTCGATGATTTAAAAGAGAAAGAAGATAAGGGATCAAAAAAACATGCAAGAAAGAAGGGTGGTGTAGAAAAAGTCAACAACAACAACAAGGCAAGTGAAGAGAAAAAGGAGGATCCCAAGACTCCTGTTGCCCGGGCAATTGACCGACCAGTACGAGAGCGGAAATCTGTAGAAAGGTTGGTTGCGGTCATCGAGAAGGATACTGCCAGGGAATTTCATATTGAAAAGGTAAAAGCTTTCTTCAATTATTTAACACATTTATAAAGTTTCTCGTTTATGCCTTCAATTGATCAAAGTAATTTGAATAAACTTTTTTTTTTTTTTT